TCGACATATTAAGAATCTACTGTATAACATAACATTAATTGGAATTTGGAAAACGATATCGAAAATGTTTAAAAGTCGATCTCAAGTAGGTAGTCTTGACGACAAATTCAAATCTGTTTTTATAATTCTTGTTGCTTCACTATTTCCATCGGTATGTTATCAAAAAATACGGCTGAAATCCTATAACGCGCATGTGTTAGACAMAGACAGAAAATCACRTTATCGAATCCCCWTAATAAAAATTCATATTAGTAATGGGTATTATTAAATTCAATTAAAGGCGAGATGCATGGCTGTAAACTGCAACGTTGCGCCTTACGTGAAAACAGAAAATCGCAAGTTTTAGTATGATATTACTTCGAAAACAATGATTTGAACTTTTTTTTTTGTACCGTTGWTCTTAACTCATTTAAATATGTTTAAAAAAAAAATCATAAAACCACTAGGTAATTAAAGTGAATTTGTTACTTTATTTCGAAATTAAAATACATGTAATGTTTTATAATTTGAAATAGGTATTTATAATTTTTATTTTTAACACTGGTCATTCACCCCTTTTATAACACCAAAAAGGGGGGAGGGAGGGCGGAAATTCATAAGTGCCCCGGGGCGCATCATTTCTAAATACGCCCATGTAAATGACATTTACATAGGTAGTTATTTCCGGTACGACGTGGCATGCCACTGATGTATAGATTAGAACTAGTTCAGTTATTGTCGATCTTTTAGTCAATACAAGAGTCATACGAGATACGAGTAATCGGAGTAATCGGACGATACTCCGACCAAACCGTCACAATTTTTCATTTGTAAACCTTCAACAATAGGTATTGTTGTTTCGTTGCTTTGTTCTGGAATAATACTAGTTTTATATACCTACAGCGTTTGTTTTACCTAATTTTATTAATAAAATATTTTTTTTGTAATTTTAAATACATACTAATAATATCTTTTTTCGATATACATGTTTTTAATTTTTTTTACATATTTTAATATTTTTTTAAAAATAATTATATAATTATGTACATATTTTGATTTTTTTATTACAATAAAGTCCGTTCCCTAGTTATCATGTATCTATCGCATTGTAGATAATAGCATTGATAATAGAATAGACTATTCTATAATCAATGATACTAGGCATTCAATACTAGCTGCTATTCATATTTCAAACTTGTAAAATTTGTAAATTTTAACCTAGACCTTG